TGGCATGTGCCTGTAGTTCCAGCTACTTGGAAGGCTGAGGGAGATGGATCACCTGAGCCCAGCAGGTTGAGGTTGTGGTAGCCAGGAGTATGCCACTGCACTCCAGCCTGGGTGACAGAGTGAGACTCCAACTCAAAAAAAAAAAAAAAAGCTGGCACGATGGCACTCGCCTGTGGTTTCAGCTACTTGAAAGGCTGAGGCGGAAGGATCACCTGAGTCCAGCAGGTCAAGGCTGCGGTGGCTCTGAGCATGCCACTGCACTCTAGTCTGGGTGACTAAGTGAGACTTCGACTCAAAAAAAAAAAAAGATTTAAATTGCTAGTGATTTAGAAATTCTATTTCAGCCGGGCTCAATGGCTCAGCCTGTAATCCTGCGCTTTGGGAGGCTGAGGTGAGTGAATTGCCTGAGCCCATATCTGCAAGATAAAAGACAATTTTGGAGCTTTACACAATAATTTAGTGTAACTGTTTTTAAAACACTTAAAAAGGAAGAATTCAAACTCATCATAATTCTTTAAAACATTCACCCATTTTTTCTTGTCCAAAATGCTACCACCCGTTCTTCTCATCAGATTTGTCAAGTCTGATTATATTTGCTGCCATCTAGGGGTAAAAATAGTTTGCTCAAAGATCATCACTCTGGTTAACAGGAATTTCCAGAGTGGGAGAAACCAGGGGAAGGAGCGGAGGGAGAGTTAATTTGCCCGTTTGTCATTTTCACTTTTTTTATCCTATTATATATTCAACACCTTCAAATGATTTTTAAGATAGCCTATTTTTCTTTTCTTTCTTTTGTTTTTTGAGTTGGGGTCTCACTCTGTCACCCAGGCTGGAGTGCATAGGCATGCTCATGGCCACCCTAGCACTGACCTGCTGGGCTTCAGGGATCCTTCCGCCTCAGCCTTCCAAGTCGGTGAAACTACAGGCCTGCGCTACCACACCCAGCTAATTTTTGATTTATTGTAGAGATGAGGCATCTCCCAGTTGCTGGGGCTGGTCTTGAACATGCAGGTCCAGGCAATCCACTTGCCTTGGCCTCCACAAAGTGTTGGGATTACAGGCTGCACCAGAACCTGGCCAGATAGCCTATTTTTCTTAGGCTAAAAGCTTAATAGGTGTGAGGGGTGATCACTGCTATCAATATCATTTTCTTCTCCAACTTAGCTGAGAAATACAGTTTTACATCACATAACTACAGATGCTACTACCTGTCTTGAATTGCTGTTTTTATTTTACAAGAATATATGGCATTTAGATAAAATTTCAGTCATTTCCAGCATTTACATTCTGAGATTTCTTGGCATTTCAGGTTTCTAAAGCCTTTAAATTTTTCTTTTTTTCTTTTTTTCAAAAAGCAGGATTTATTGAGAGGACAGAAAAGCTCCCATAATGGGAGGGGACCCAAGGGGGTTGCCCCCAATTATCTTGTGTGTTGGATCTCACTCTGTCACCCAGAGTGGGGTGCAGTGGCAGGATCATGACTCTGCAACCTCGACCTGCTGGGTTCAAATGACCCTTCCACCTCAGTCTTTCAACTAGTTGGAACCACAGGTGTACACCCCCATGCCCGGCAAATTTTTTTGATTTATTGTAGAGACAAAGTCTTGCCAAGTTGCCTAGACTGGTCTCGAACCTCTGGACTCAGGCAATCTTCTCGCCTCTGCCTCCCAAAGTGCTGAGATTACAGGTGTGAGCCACCACGCCTGACGGTGCACATCTTAAAAGGGTATGGTTTGATAAAATTTCACATGTGGATATATGTGTGTAACCACTGCCCAAATCCAGTGTTTCTGGACTTTTTTTAAAATTTTTAATTTTAATTTTATTTTTATTTTTTATTTTTGAGTTGGAGTCTCACTCTGTCGCCCAGACTGGAGTGCAGTGGCCGCTCCTGGCCACTGCGGCCTTGACCTGCTGGGCTCCGGTGATCCTTCTGCCTCAGCCTTCCAACTAGCTGGAACTATAGGCGCAGGCTACCATGTCCGGCTAATTTTTTTGATTTATTGTAGAGATGAGGTCTCACCAAGTTGCCCAGGCGGGTCTCGAACCCGCGGGCTCAGGCAATCCGCTCACCTCAGCCTCCCAAAGGCGCGGGATTATAGGCTGAGCCACCGAGCCCGACTAATTTTTAATTTTAAAGATGTGGGGTACAACTCAGGGTTAGGTATACAAATGTTCATTATGCAGGTACCCTTGTTGATGAGGTGTGCCCTCCCCCTGGACATTTTACTGAGCTAAATGATTACACTTTTAAGTTCAGGCACAAGGCAAGTGAATCCTGACAGCCCATGTATATCAATAAAGAGATTTTTATGACAAATCAAGTGAGCTGAGATTATGTAAATCTTTATTTTTTTCCCCACAGCTGACTATAAAGGGAGAAGCAACATTATGACGGTTACAGGAGACACCTGAGAACAATCCATGTACCTTCTTTTGGAGCCACACCCTCTGACAGCACAATGAAAATTTTCCTTGCTATGCTAAGTGTGTGAGATTAGCAACTGTGCCTATTTAACATAGTTCTTAAAAAGTATGAAAAGACCCTTTCTCAGAAAATAAATCATCTATCTGAAAAAAAGAAGAAAGGTGATATTTACAAATACTTGTTAAAAGTTTAGGTTCTGTTTCACTTTTTCCCCGTTTCCTATTTCTATTAAAGCCTAGGGAGAAGCCTGCTCCCCACAGCATCGTCTACTAGTGTCCCTGATGAGGTAAGTATTGACAGGGTATTGTCTTTGGCCTAATGAAGATAGTGAAAGTGACCAGAATGCCACTCCCCCTTAGAATGTCTGGTCCATTCATTTATTCAACAGTCAATGCATGCTCACTATGTGCCAGGCACTGTCCTAGGCACCCTTGGGATACCTAAGTGGACAGACAGTGCCTCCAAGGCACTTATGCCCTATAAGAGAAAGTCATCTGGGTGGTGCTGAGAGAGGCTGCACTGGGGCACTGGGTACCTTCTCTGCCAGCCCCCCCCCAGCTCAAATGGATGGACTCTGAGCCCAATCCAGTCACACAAGTGAAGACTCTCTAGGGAGACGGCAGAGTAGGATGGGTATCTGTGATCTGTCTTTTGCTCCCAGTATTTCTGACACCAGATGTGTGGAGTATTTTCCTCACACCAACTGAATGTGCTACAATTAAATTAAATTCTGGCACTATCTACCTGGAGTTAGTCAGATCTCACAGGTGAGGTGCTCAATTCCATGACTGCCCCCACTTCAGATGCCAATTGCAAGTCAAAGACTCTCATACTTCTGACTGTTCACCTATAAATTAGGGAGGGGAGAGAAGGGGAGGGAATTCTCACAACCTTCTCCAATGGATTGATAACTCTCTAGATGGCTCACAGAACTCAGGAAGGTACTTTACTTACATTTACTGATCTATTATAAAGGATACAATTCAGAAACTGCCAAATAAAAGGTACTTGGGGCAAGACATGGAGTGGGAGGAGGGTGTGGCATTTCTGTATTTCTCTGGGCACATCACTCTTCCAGCACTTTGATGTGTTGACCAGCTCCTTAGAATCCTTCTGTTAGCGGGCTTGGTGGCTCAGCCTGTAATCCCACGCCTTTGGGAGGCTGACGTGAGTGGATTGCCTGAGCCTGTGGGCTCGAGACCCACCTGGGCAGCGAGACCTCATCTC